GAGCACAGTATGCGCATACAACACTAAAATATGTATGAATATGTATGTGTGCTATGTTCTATAACATCTTGCATCCTGGATCCTGCACGTGGAGCTGTGGACACACCCTACTTCAAACCTGCATGCTTCTTCGCCTTGAGCCAGGCCGCCTCAATCCCACCGTTGCAAGCCCAACTGATCGTGCCCTTCTTGCCCTCCCCGACGGGTTTCTTCACAAAAAACCCTTTCTTCTTCATGAGAACATCGAAGGTTGCTCCGTCGAAAGAGACGGTGTATGAATGCAGTCCACGCCCCGGCCCCCGAGGCCTGCACTCGGATGGCACATTCAAGGCCTTCAAGTCATACGAGTGCCACATATCATCCCCGGTCTCCGCCGGCACTGCTGGTGCTGGCACAATAGCCCGGCGCTCCTCCTGCTCGGCCTCGCTGTTCTCGACACTTAACACACCACCTGCTGCACTGGAAGGGGCAGCTGTAGAAGCATCCGAATCCCGGCCCTTGCCCCTGGTCTTGGGCCGCTTGAAGCTTGCCTTGGGAGCTTCATCCAAGCCCTTACGCTTGTGACTGGGCTTCTCGTCCCGCTCGACATGCTCCAATGCATTATGCAAGGAATCCCCATTCTCGAGCTGCTCACACTTCTTCTTCGGCTTCGGGGCCCCATTCTCGTGCTGCTCACACTTCTTCTTCGGCTTCGTCTCCCCATTCTCGTGCTGCTCACGCTTCTTCTTTGGCTTCGGCTCCCCATTGTCATGCTGCTCACTCTTCTTCTTCTTCTCCGGCTTCGCCTGCTCTCCAGCAAGCTTCCTCTGCTTCGGCTTGGCCTCAGCGGCTCTGTTTCTTCATGCAAAGCAGGACAAAAATACATTATGTGTTCAATCAATCATGTACATAAGTTTTTGGTGAGTCACCTGGTTAACAAAGGGAGAAGCACAACCACCCACCATGGCCATCACGTCTTCCATTTCGGGGGGCGGTGGTAGGGCAGGTGCACTGCCCCACTTGGGTTTGTATGGCGCTGTCTTTGGGGAATCGATGACCAATTGCTGCAAGGCATTGCACAAAGACCCATGCTCCTGAACTCTGGTATTGAAGCCTACTCAAATTCACTTCGTCATAATAACTCATGTCAGCAACCCACGACAACCCTTTAGGCACAGACTGGTCTGCAATTCATATGCTCAGGGGCCGTGGAAACCGTGGCACCACTCGCCTGCAACGATCAGCACTAATGCAAGCAAACACCTTGTAACTGCAAACAACGCACCACGAGTATTGCAATCCAAGCTTCCTGGGAATCGTCCATGGCTTTGGCCGCTTCGACCACAAAGGGAGGCAGATCATCATCGCTCTCGCTCTCCGCCTTCTTCTTGAAGGATTGCTTTGGCTCTGCTGCCTCATCCATCGGGACCAAGGAGCAGCCACAGCCCACACAGCATCCTTCCTTCTCGGGCATGATGTCGCACCAGTCGCACGGCGACTCCACGACCTCATGCTCCGACACTAAGTGTTCGCCCAGCTTCAGTGTAGTAGCCATAGACGCACTGTCGTCCTCGGAGTCGCTCTCCTGATCACTTAAAGGGAGCATCTCTTTACATGTCCGGGGAGCGCACAAACGCACTCAGACAAACGAGCTTCCTCGCAAACGGCGGGGTCGTTGCAAGGCGGACGTGGCAAGCAAGTCTCGGGGGCCTGCACAGCTCACTTTCCGAACTCATTCCGATACAGCAATTCAGATACACATATACACATTATGGACCAGCAGAGGCTCTTCTTCTTCCATCTCGGAGATTTCCGCATCAGTCGTCATGCCTTCCTCGGACTCGGAGGATTCGTAGTCTTCGCGTAGGGCGAGGAGTCGATTGTCCCAGGTTTTCATCTCGGCTATAGTGGCCAAAAGCAAAACTACAAATCCCGATGCACCTCCAACTCATCGCACAAGTCCCACACACACAGTTTTTAAGCAAGTAACCGGACCAGCATCAACAAACTTCTTGGGGTCCACAGGACGACCCCATGGATCTTTTGGGTGGACCATGCCCGCAGACGGGGCATTTGGCGGGGGCGGTCTGTCCTTTCCCGGGATCAAGGGCCCCACACGGTTGCTTGAAACCTGGCTGCCGCACTCGTAGTCGTCCTCGTCTACAGATGTCACATCTACCGTCACACGATTACTCGAACAAGCTCATGACATAGCTGTTAGCAAAGTCTCGTCTGAGTCATCACCATCTTCACGGCAATCTGCATCTCCACACCGGGATCGGCCGGACTCGTCCTGATGCGACGCACAGACACGTACATACCCACATGCAAACTTCAAGTGTTGCACACGAGTCACAAGGTTACATGCCGTGAAGCATCATCCGATGCATCTGGGGTGGCTTCGTCCTCAGGTAGCATTGACACAACAATATATCACGGGACTTTATCCAATCCAAGATTCGGCAGGGCCAACACCATCGTAGCGACAGTGTTGTTCTCGGTTGCACGACATATGTATGCCAACGCAGACAACTATACCGAAAAAAAGGAGCACACGCAAACAATGCTTTCCAAGTATCATCCGATTCAGCCTCACTGGCTGCGGCCTGAAACTACCCATACAGGCAAGTGGCAACACAGACATATTGGGAACTTTAATATCAACGAAGCTTCGCTTGAGTCTGAGTCGTCACCATCTCCAGGGCAATCTGCAACTCCACAGGGGGATCGGGCGGATTCGTCCTAAGGTACACACCCACACAGGCAACGCGAAGGATGCAAGCAAACATGCAAAGGTCCATCCAAGTATCATCGGATTCATCCTCGGCGGCTGCGTCCTCAAGTGACAAGCACACACACATATCTTGCACAGGATGCCTACCTGCCCTATAGTCATGTCGCTAATATCCAAGTTTCCTTCAGAGCGGGAACTTCATCTCCCGGACTCGAATCCTCAGATCGCATACAGACACAACACAAACACCCCACCCACACACACACACACA